TTATGTGGAGTTGTTAAAGAGAATTATGCATTGAGCAAGGTGAAGTCAGATATTCGCTAAGGTGGAGAATCTTGTGTAGATTTCCTAAGGAGCGAGATATTCATGTATTTCAATCAAGGTGGAGATTGTTGTGAATGCTTGAAATATGTTATTACATTAGTCCCACATCAGCTAGTATTGGAATAGAGTAGAGTAACCAATGTTCTATATTGGACTCAGACCCCTTATTGTAACGTGCACTAGATATAAGCACCAAATAGAAATACCTCATGGGCAGTTGGACCAATGGGTGTGATAGGGGTTGTAATCCTTATTCTCTAATAATATCTTGGTAGCCACTCAGCACTCCCGGGGACGTAGGCACAATTGGTCGAACCCCGTTACCAAATTATTTGTTTCTTTTCTTCTATTTATTCTATACATTATTTGATTGTTTGTGACCAACACTGCGCAACGATTACTTCCACTGTACCAACAAAGTGTAACTTTTTACCCAGTAATCATATGCCATATTGTGAGAAGATCGACATTTTAGTGTTTTAAGGATAAAACCATTGAAGGTTGGACGTATTCCATGTTCCGGGTATCTCTTTTCCGCTCATCTTCAAAAGTGTAGACTCTTGTACCGATCTTGTCTATTACCTGATATAGCCCTTCCCAATTTGGGGCTAGCTTCCCCTTTGGCTTCCCAATGTCTGCTCGCCGAACGACTAAGTTTCCAAGTTTGAAACTTTTGGGGACGTCTGAATAGTTGTATATGTCAAATTTTCTTTGTTTAACCGTTGCTTCCTAGATTCAAGCTCTTTTTTCCCTTAATCCAATCCAGGTTGTACTACAATTACTCTTAGTTGGTCTTCTCTTCGAACCAGAATATCCGCCAAGTTGGCTCGCCAATTTCATCTAGAATCTTGGCTTCTGCTCCACATGTGAGGTTGAAGGGGATTCACATGTTGTGGAGTATGGTGTAGTGCGGTAAGCCCAAAGCACATGGATTCCTCTCAGAATAACCTTGTGAGTCGTTTCAACTTGACCATTAGTTTGAGGGTATTCAACTGAAGTAAAGTGTTGTTTGATATGAAGACCCGCGAGCAACTCTTAGAACATCCAATCAGAGAATTGGGTTTCATTATCCGTGACTATTTCAAAGGGGACATCGAACCATGTTATTATATTTCTCCAAGTGAATTTCTTAACATTGGCATTAGAAATAGTGGAAAGTGCTTATGCCTCTACCGCCATTGTGAAATATTCAACCACCACTATCAGGAACTTCAGTTGTCCGACGGATTGAGGGAAATGTCCCAATATTCCATTCCTCACGTGCAGAATGGCCAAGGGGCATAGTAGTAGTCAGCTCTTCAGATGGGACTTTGTCGAAGTCAACAAATCACTAGAACATGATGCATCGACATATCAGGTTGGAAGCATATTTTTCCATAGTTGGCGAGATGTATCCGACTATTAGGACCTTCTTTTGCGAAAGAGGCTTCCCCTAAGTGGTGCCCACAACTACCTTCATGGGCTTATCTTAACACATAGTCCTCCCTTTCCAGCCCGATGTGTTTTAATAGTGGTGTTGAGAAACCTCGCGTATATAACGACCCATGGACCAAGGTGTGCCATAAGTTGTAGCGGAGGAATTCTTGTCGGTTAATAGATCCCCTTTTGTGCAAGTAGTTTATAATAAGGCTGAATCTAACCTGCGAACTGATAATTAGTTCGCATGGATGCGAACTATATGTAGAAGTCGGTTTGGGCTATATTATCTTCGGCCCGTACAGAAGTCGGTTAGGCCCAAACCGACTTCTGTACATGGTGAAGTCGGTTTGGGCCAGTTTGACATCATAACACATAGAAGTCGGTTTGGGCCTAACCGACTTCTGTACATATTGGGCCCAATTTTTTTTTTTGTAATTTTGTGTTGATACCGACTTCTATATACATTTCGATTTAAGAAATGTTAATATAAGTACTTAGCACATTTGGTAAGTTAAGTAGCTTGTTATAGTCTGTGAAGTGGGTTCGAATCTCACTCCCAACATTTTTAACATTTTAACGTTTATAGTGTTTTTTTAACATGCAGAAAATAAAAAATGTTGGGAGTGGGATTCGAACCCACTTCACAGACTACAACAAACTGCTTAACTTACCAAATGTGCTAAGTGCTTATGTTAACATTTTTTAAATCGAAATGTATATAGAAATCGCTATCAACACAAAATTTTAAAAAAAAAAAAATTGGGCCCAATATGTACAGAAGTCGGTTAGGCCCAAACCGACTTCTATGTGTTATGATGTCAAACTGGCCCAAACCGACTTCACCAAGTAAAATATTTCGAGTTGGGCACCGACTTCTACATGTGGTTCGCATCCATGCGAACTAAATATCCGTTCGCAGGTTAGATTGGCCCTTATAATAAGGCCAGTCCACTCGGTTGGAGCATATGCCTAAGTTATTGCCATGATATTGGGTCTGAGGACAGTCCCTTGGATAACAAAGCGGTGCTTTTTGTGCTAGCCAGTTTTGAAAGGATATCAACCTAAACATTTTGATCTCTGGAGACATGGCGGGAAGTTGCTTCTTCAAACTAGGACATCAACTCCTTCACCTTAGCTAGATACTTAGTTAGGAGGTGATCATTAGTTTGTTAAGTACCGACTGTTTGTAAAATGGCCAACTGGGAGTCACTACATGCCGCCATTTTGTCCGTCCAACCTCTCTGACCAATTGTAGATCGACTATGCAAGCTTCATACTCAGCCTGATTGTTAGATGTTGGGAAGGTGAAGGTCAGGGAGTACTCTTTGATTTATTTGAAGACATTTAATTTCACTAATTTAGTGACTCATTTGCAATGAGCTCGTGACACCTAATATTCTATAAACTACCAGACAAGGTTAATGTAACACAAGCTTTAACATGCTAACCTTATGGTTATGTAGATTGGTGTCGTCACACTTTAAGTTTAAATATTCATGCAGTATTTTGTATATTCTAATTCAATTCCAAAAACTTATAATCATAAATTTCATTAAATCATTGTCAGTAACTCCCGGAGTGGAAGTATGTATAGGTTTATTATTTGGACAAATCCTTTTTGTTGTCATACCTATATTCATTCGATCCTTTCTGCCCATTGAAAATTATGATTTGGAAGTGTATCAACAATAAGGATGACAATGGGTACCCGGATCTGTGGGTACCAGCAAATAAAACCCACAATGGGTCGGGTTTGAATCCATGTTTTGGATCCGTGGGTAATTGAGACCCACAATTTTAAGACCCGCTGTTAGATGAGTCTGGGTAATAAGATACACGGACCCGTGACTATCCGAACCCGCTATTTATTCTTAAATATATATATATAATATATATATATATACCAACATAATTGTAATATCATGTGAACCTATATTGTAATATGATATTAATCCATAATTATAATATTATATTACTTCATAAATGTGATTATTATGTTGTTAAATTATGATGTTATATTGTTAAGCAATGATATTATGTTGTTAATTGATATATATGATGTAATGTGACGTTAATCGAAGAATTCTTGTTGAATGAATTTTTCATTCTAATGTTGAAATTGTTTTTAATGTTTGTTTGAGGAAAATGGGTTCTGTTTATAGTCAAATTAAGTTGTGTTTAAAACTTTAAATTAAGTTTTATAATTTTTTTATCTTGTTGATTGTCTAAATAACATATAAGATTGTAGGAAATAAATATACATCGCACAAATTACTTGCAATTATTTTTCATATTTTAAATTTATGAGTACTTATAGATCCACTGGATACCCATAGATCTGTGGGTACCCAATGGCCCGCAGGTAGTATACCCTAGCGGGTATTAGTATGGGTCTGGATCAAAAAATAAAGCAACGGGACAAGCCTGGATAATGCATTGTCCAAACCCATCCAGACCTATTGTCATCCCTAATTAAAAACTAGACTAAAATCTCTTTCCACGTTGCACATTTCAGGATTGTCCTCACTATGTTGTATTAGGAATCTCATCTACCTTCAAATATTTGGTGCTCTATCGTCATATATGACACGAAGTACTGTGATTTAAAAAATTCAGTAAAAATACTTTTTTATGTGCATTAGAAACGAGGCAAATACTAGCTTTTCTACCGTCTGATTTTCCTTTCTAATTGTCACAGTAAAAATCATCAAAAACCAACCTTATTACCATTAAATTTCATAAATGGTAACATTGTCCTTCATACATAAATTTCATAAACAATTTTTGTAATCAGTATGATTAAACCATCTTCAAGTTCCAACAAATATTTTGTAGCATAAAACAAGTTAAAAAACGAAAGTTCAGTATTATAAAGAATAATAATATAAATCACTCAATATTCGCTCATCAACTATCCATTGTCATAATCTTATTTCATCAAATTCAGACAATAATATTCATTTTATAATTTTATGACCATACAACACAAATGACAAATTGAATTAGATGTAAACCACAATTCTCATGTGGGGTGAGTTTCACATTAAAAGAAATGTGACACTCTAGCTAAAGGATAAATTTTACTAAAAAGTTACAAGATCGACAACATTATATGATACTAAATGTTATGGGGAAAATATCAACAAAAGCATATGATAAAGAATTAATCTTTAGGAAAAAGTGGGAGTAGATCACATTACAAAAAAGATTACAGAATTGTAAATTAGATAGTTTCAACATGTGTATATGAAATTATTAAAAATCACACTTAAGAAATAGTAAATTAAATTGAGGTTACTCTGATTTTTAGAGACTAGAAAAACCATAATGAAGCAGTTACAAAAAAAATGTGGAGATAAATGATGTGAATTTATTACTTGGGTCAAATTAATCCAGCTGTATACACCTCATAAGCATCCTTTGCCAACTAATAATTAAATTAGGAATGAAGCCAAGTCGGTGATTAACTAGAATAACTACCCACATAAATATATTTACACTTCTCACCTTTTTCCATTCCAGTTTCAAGCTTCTCTGCCTCTTCTCTGGTTTTCTTCCTTTTCCTTACTCCTTTTTTAATTTCTTATTTTCATCAGCATCATCTTATATACACTCAATTCTATTATTATTTTCTCTATCTATCATAATATCCATGGAGTTAATTGAATTAAAAGAAGAAAAAAGCTTTGTCTTTGTTAATAATCACCATAAAGATTGTTTCTTTTCGTTCATACAAAAACTGGGTCTTGGAATTTTTCTCCAAGAACGGTTAAGAACTGCAGCTAGGTACTCAAAACAAAAACAACAAAATATAGAAACCTTTTAATTGTTGTTGTTTTGAGACTTTAACTTCCCATGTTTGCATTTCTTCACTTATCATTGTGTTCTTGTTACTTTGTTATGAACATTCAATCTTGTCTGGTATTTACAAAAATTTCAAAATAATAAAAAATGACAAAAAATGGAGAAGGGCATTATGATTCATTTTTGAAGCATTACAAGTGATGAGATTTTATGATTATTCTTTATGCCTCTCTAAAAATATTTGTATCATAAAAGTTAGAGGTTCAAAAATTATTTTTATCTCATTTGAAGTTGTTTTAATAAAACAGTACAGATTATAAAGCTTATACTCTTTCTTCAGTCTTCTTATTCTATAACTTCTCTCACCACAATCTTGGATGCTCAAGACGTGGACTTTAAGAACTTTTCAAAATCTACTTAGAATTTAATATGATAATACAAAAGATTGATGGTGACAATTATCTTGACATGTTGTTCCAATTTTTTCTTTTAAATGGCAATCTTGTTTTGAAACATTGTCAAGTCTTTTCTTGGTCCCATAGCAACTTTAAAGATTCCATTTTCTTGGAAATTGAGAGAGTAAATTCATTCCTTGATAGATTTTTATTCTAAGAAAATTGGATCATCCCAAATGTTATAAAGCTAGAAAGTTTAGACACATCAAGAATGTCAATGAGTATATATCTAGCGTTTAATTACATAATGCATGTTTTAGCTAGACTTTCCGCAAGTCCTGAAATCAAGTTCTCAGTGGCACAAAGTATGGTGTGGGAGGCTTCCACACCATTTTTTGCCGCATCGAAAACTTAATCATTTTAGGACTTGCAAAAAGTTCAGCTAAATCATGCATTATATAATCAAACACGGTAGGTAAACTCATAAAATTCTATATGTAAGTAAAATTCTAGGTTCTGGATAATCCAATCTTCATGAAATAAGAATCTCTAGCCATGAAATTTACACTCTTAGGTTATAAGAAAATGAATCTTTGAAGTTGTTATGGGATAAAGAAAGGATTTGATAATGTTCCAAAGCAATCTAAATTTGGGGTCGCCATTTATGAAAAACATTTGACACAACTTCTGAAGTGTCACCATCAATCTTCTGTATTCACATAAGAAGTTCTTAAGCAGACTTTGAAAAGTTCTTGAAGATCTAAAATTATGATGCCATAAGTTGCAGAAGATGAAGAACAGTGAGAAAGGAGTATATAATTTGTAACATTTTATTAAAACAAATTCACAACTTCTTGTTAAATGATTTTGTAACATCTCTTTAAATGAAACTTTAATGTATAATTCATAATGTCTCCGTAGATGATTTTTTTTTTAAATTCAAATAATTAAAACCAAACAATTGGAATGCAAAATGTTTTATGGGTGTTGAGTAAGAATTGAATAGTTAAAAATGATAAAATTAGTTATGAGACTTCTAAAAATTATTTTTTATGATAACTTTTTTTTTTATAAAGCCTTAAAAACTATTTCAAAAATCTATCATAGGGTAAGAATACTTAAAAAATTAATCATGATGCCCTTTTCAAAAAAATTATTTTGATATTTTGTATTTTTACTTTTTGTAAATATATGGCAGACAAAATTAAGTGTTCATATAAAAATAATTAGAATAAGGGCATATTTTGTTTCTTAAAAAAAAATCATGCACAAATTTAATCCTAGGAGATTTGTAAATTCTAAAATGATCACAAAAAATATTAAATACATGTTAAATTAGTCATTTTTAATATTTTTATAGCCTTAAGATGGATCACTCATTCATGATATCTGTGAGTATTATTTTGATGTTATTATACGGAATATTATTATTCTTGTAGCTTTGTTGTTTTTATTCTTGTTTTTTGTGTAATGATGATGCACTCAAGATGTGTATGAATATATCATGTGTGTCTTGTTTGTGTTGAGTTTTTTTTTCTTTATATATATGTATTATTAATTTAAATATTTGTATATACTTAATACATTATCCACAATTCATTTATACTAATTTTCTAAAGTTTAGGATAATTCAATATGAATAAAACTTATATAATGCATATATTTTTTTGTTTTTATAATCTTATAATGCATAACCCAGACATTGGCATAAATTTCATATTTCTCTTTTTATAAAACTTATATAGGGTATAAAATTCATTATTATCACTAGTACTAATGTATAAAACTCATACACTACATACAATTTTTTTCTTTTTATAATCTTATTATATTAATAATTAATGCATTATCATATCACAAACATTACTATAAATTTCATTTTTTCTGAGGTGAGTGAGATTTAACATTTGGAATTCAGACTTATTTAATTTGTTCCATTTGCAGTTAATTATTTTTCGATGAATGAAAGTTAATAAATTTTGTACTGAAACATGGGTCCTTTAAATTGGAGAATAGAAGTGATGAATGGGAAATAGATGCCAAAAGCATCCAGAAACGGTAGATGAAGTGCATGCTGATAAGAGGGAGTACATTTCATTAAATTTTAGACCAATTTCAAGGAACTAATAAGTTCAAACCCACATGAATTCAACACCAGAGACTCATAAGTAAAGTTTGTAAAGTTTGATACTAATAAGTTCACTCTCCACCATGATTTCAGACTTGTTACTACTGCTTCTTGTAAAGTTTGTAAAGCATGAGAGCAACCCAGGTATTATGTTGTATAATAATGGTAAAATTTTGGTTTGATATTTCAAATGTGAATGAAGAAGTCTTACATTGTAAAAGTGAATGAGTTAAAGATCATATAAGTGGATGAACTTATAGACCTAATGCCTTAAGATTTTGGGTATCGTGCCAATTTAACTTATATGTCAAGATGTCCAACAGTTTCAATTTCATACTCATTTTTTCAGACATGTTGTTTTGTGAACTAGTTTCTGGTTAGGAGCAGAGCGGTCAAAACCAACTCATGGTATATTGTTTCTTCTTAAAAGCTTAGAAGGCATGAACATAGTTTCTAGATTCAGCTGTACACAAGAAACTAAGGGCACTTTTACGGTTTATTTAATGATATTTGTGTACAGGGAGGACCCTTTACCATGATTAGTCTCTTACACGCAATCATAAGAGCTAATATTTGCTTTTGATACATCTGCAATTGTTTTTGTTATATTTGATTTGATTTTCAATCAAATCTCTTCTTATCCTCTCTTACAAAATTTATATATCGTCATGATTCTAGCTAGCATCTTATTTGTGTTTCTAAATTATTTTTTAACTGAGTGACATTTTTTTATTAGACCAGAACAAGAATTAGGATAAATGATTTCTATCCGTTCTCAAATTCATTTTTATGCTATGAGTATACTATTACATGCACAAAATGGGGATGATAAGAGAAACCAGATTGCAAACAATATATTCATTCTTATTTGGGTCTCACACATTATTTTATAATTTATTATAACTCCGCATAAAATAAGGAGAACATCTACATTTTCTCATGATTACAAACATCACTCTTATTCATATTCGGGTCCCATAAAATCTACTTTTTTCCTACAACGTCTACCTCTATCTTCACTTTCCTTTTGCCAAGAATTATTCTTATTTGAGAACAAAATTCAGAAAATAAGTATGTCACGATGGAGAACCGAGTGAGAATGTCTTATTCTGTTAAGCACAACCATTGTGGTTGCTCTAATAGGTACTCATTAATAATATCATGATATTATGTTATAAAGCGTTATGTTTGTTAATACACAATTGTTAGGTTGATGGAGGGATATATTTTACTCTCTTATTTTAAGTTAGGTTATTTAGTGAAAACATTTATATTTAAGTGATAATTTAAAGGTGTGTACTTGTACTTAGAATGAGTGAGACTCCTCTCAAATAATGGAGAGGAAAGTTCTTTTTTTCTTTTTAATAGTAGAAATGTAATCTCAATATGATTAACAATGATACAAATGTCATTTCATTTTGTGTTTTTTTGTTTTTTCACATAACTTCCATCTCCATTAATGGAGAGAAGTCTCACTCACTTAAAAAAGACTAATTTGACACACTTTTAATATTTTTTGGAGACTAAGTATGAGGTTAGAAGTTCAAATCTTATAAATAATATGCTAGATAAAAAAAATGTGTATAAGTAATCTTCCCAAATTTTATTAAGACTCATGGATAAGGTTGCATTCCTCGGATATTGTTGCTTGCATGGACGAGAATGCAATATCTCCCGATAAGGGAAGGAATGTAGATCACTTGTCTCATAAATGGTGTCACAATGTGTCTTAATGTGTTTCAATTTATTAAAAAGTTGTCACATAATCAATATGAAAATTTTAAAAAATAGAAAAGTTTTTTTTTTTACATTATTTGGTGCAGCATGATTGACTTGGGATATAGAGACATAATTTTTTTGGTACAGGTGATCCTTGTTCCCCAACAAGACCAAGATTACTAGAATCTAGGTGGCATTGCATTCAACCATGTTTCCTAGTAAGCATGCTTCAATGGCTAGGCAAGAAAGGAGAGTAGAGATGAAAAAAACACTTGAATATCCATCATTTTTGTTACACTTTTTTGTACTTACTCGATTACAAAGTTTTGTTTTATTAAAAATAAAAATCATAAAAACCAAAATTAATATTTTTATATTATTTTGTTAAGTTTAATTAACTATGAATATGAGGACATGATTTTCTTCGGACAGAAGATCATTGTTTAAGTTTTGATTGAGTTAGCCTAATTCTTATTATGAAAGTGACCTGTGGTTAGGAATAGGGATCACTTGTCCTTATCATTGTCTCATTTCTTATCTCAAGTCAATCACATATTGTCACATAAATAAAAGAAATATTTAAAAAAAAAAAGTAAAAAAAAACAATAATATTTCGATTAACTTGAGACAACGTAGCATCATATGAGACAAATGATCTGTAACTCGTTAGATCCTATGGATGGATATTAGTGACAATACACCTTATATGGCTTAATTGATTGCTTCCACTGGCTAGGAAGTAGAAACCATTAAGCCAATGCATAGTTAAACAAAAGGGGCTATTTTGCTTTCAAAATGTCCTTGTGTCATTAAAGCCTAGTTATCTAAGTATTTTTTGTGATAGTATAATAGAATGATAAAGGATTTTAGGCTAAAATGTAGTCATTGGTATCTCAATTTTCTCAATCGTGTGAATTTTGTTCCTATATTTTTTATGTATAATTTTTACTATCCAAGTTATTTAAATTTGCAAAAGTAGTTATTCTGCTTGGACATTACCAAACACATGAAAGAAGTCGTTTTAATTATTTGAAGCTATATAGGATTAAACATTTGTCCATGTGTTTGGAGAAGAGTCTATTCTGATATTTTATAGGTGTCCATGTGTTTGGAGAAGAGTCTGTTCTGATATTTTATAGGTTCTTATGCAAAGAAAAAAATGAGGGGTCTTATTTATAATAAAATTTATATGTCATATGTTAAATGAAAATGAAGAGTTCAAAGTAAAATAAAAAAGAGTACCCTTTATTTATAAAAGAATTTAATTATGTAAAAAATTAGGCTAATGTTTAAACAAAAAGTTTCATGCAAATCAAAATCATAGTGTGTGTGATACATTTTTTTATTGCTTATTTATTAGAGTAAATTATACTGATACTCCCTGAGTTTTAGTAAAATTATACAAATTAGCTATATTTTTTACACTTATACAAACCCCATAATTTATATTACATTGATTTCCCTTGCAGGATAAATAAATATAATCTTTTACATAAAAAAGAGTGACAAATGTAATTAAGATATACAAAACATTATATATTGTGAAGATAAATGCAAATAGTATATGACAATGAAAATTGAACATGTGAGTATTCGTCAGAGCCCAACCTGAAATTAATGAGGAAAACCCGATTTAATTGGGTTCGGGTTTGGATTTTACATGAGTTCAATATTCGGGTTTGATAGAGTTGATAGTTGATACCATACTCGAACCAACCCCAAACCCAATTAATATGTGTAAAATTTCAAAACAAGACATAAATACAAATATAAAACCTATATTATATAGGAATTTCACACACACCTATATCTATACTACTATTCTATACTTCTATACTACTAATAAAGGCAAAAATCAAATTAATCACCCACCATGGTGTAATTTGGGGTTGCCTATTTTACCCTTTTTATTTTATAATTTTTACAAAAAAAAACATATATAACCCAATATAATGTTCCTCCATGTCAATGTAATATAATTCTGTCATGTTTTTCATTTTGGCAGTTTTCCATCTTGCTGTCATGACATATAAAGGCAGTTTCCCATGGCAATTTAGTTTTCCATATATTTTCTCAGAGCACAATCATAACATTATCAAAGGAAAATGGAACTAATTCTTTTTCTCCAACATCACTACTTTGCAACACTACTATGGTAATAGATTGCTTAACAAAACTATTGTTTTGCAGAATAATGATTCTTTTAATTATTGCTTAAACATGCTTTTAACTCATGGATACTATTGGTATTGATGCAACCACGAGTGTTGTTGGTGCAGCGGAAGCGATTGTTGCGCAACATTGGTCACAAAGCAATCAAATAGTAAAAGAGAATAGAATAACACAATGAATTTGGTAACGGGGTTCGGCCAATTGTGCTTACGTCCTCGGGAGCACTGAGCGGCTACCAAGATATTATTAGAGAATATGGATTACAAACTCTATCACACCCATGGGCCCAACTGCCTATGGGTTGTTTCTGTTTGGTGCTTATATCTGGTGCACATTACAACAAGGGACTTGAGTCCAATATATAACATTGATTAATTTACTCTATTCCAATACTAGGCGATGTGGGACTAATCTAATAACATATTTCAAGCATCCCCAACAATCTCCACCTTGATTGAAATAGATGGATATCTCGCTCCTTAGGAAATCTACACAAGATTCTTCACCTTAGCGAATATCTGACTCCACCTTGCTCAATGCATAATCTTCTCTAACAACTCCACATAAGAGTCTGCTCCCCTTCGGTATAAACCTTCTGAGTATCCTTGATGACGTTACCAAGAGCCTAGCTCTCCAAACTTTTAGTGCACATTCCCGTACCATCATCTAATGGAACACGCCGCCTAGCCACTTATTGCTAGGAAGTCTTTCGATATATGGAACCTCTACACAAAAGTTCACCAACAACCATCCTCTTCAATACTCAATCAAGTTGAACCTTGGAGCTTCATTGGAAAGCCTCAACCGCTACCACCATTGTCTAGCCCGACAATCATAGTTCAAAAGAACTATCGTACTTCACCATAAGGAGTATACCCACAATGCAAACCTTGCGTCAATGCTAACCAATGTCCGTGTCACATCCTTGCATCCAAGCCAATGCTCATGTCACACTCTGCATCAAAGTCAGCCAGCATTTGTCTTAGGGTCAAACTCAACACCTGAGTCCCTATCTCCACCTTGATCCTAATCCAATACATGGACTTCTAGGATTCTGGATCAACACATATATCGCCCCACCATAGTTTCGCCATATTTTCTTCTCCTTCAACTCATCTCTTTTATCATTGCATAGTACCTTTGACGCATCTTGTCTAACCAACATGCTTTCACCCTCTTTTGCAATTATCTAGCACTTGGGTTAAGAACCATCTACCAATTGCTTCTGATACCAATTGTTGGTGCAGCGGAAGCGACCGTTGTGCGGCATTAGTCATAAAGCAATCAAATAGTAAAAGAGAAGAGAATAACACAATGAATTTGGTAACGGGGTTCGGCCAATTGTGTCTACGTCCATGGGAGCGCTGACCGGCTACCAAGATATTATTAGAGAATAAGGATTACAAACTCTATCACACCCATGGGCCCAACTGCCCATGGGGTGTTTCTGTTTGGTGCTTATATCTGGTGCACATTACAACAAGGGAACTGAGTCCAATATATAACATTGATTAATTTACTCTATTCTAATACTAGGTGATGCG